TTTTGAACAGTAAAGTAATCTTCAATACGGTTCAGAGTCTCCATATTGATCTTATTTTCATTCATGTTATTATATAATTCCTCTGCACGTTTAGCTGCAGAACTCACAGACTCTAATAACATGTCCAGCTCAAATCTGTCATCTTCACATCTGAACAAGCTCTCTTCGTACTGATTCCTGCACATATGTTCGGAAGAGTAATCCTCACTTCCTGAACTCACAGATACCCAGTGATCATTCAATACTTGAGCACCAAGCTCAGATCTCTGACTAGCTGTAGGAATTGGATAATCAGCAGGTAGAAGCCGGTAGCTGGGAGTGCAACGTTTACAGTCACTGAGGTCAAGTTCTTGAATGGATTTTCCCATGTACTCCTTCTCCCTGTATCTTTCCTTCTCTTTAGCTCCATCCATCTCACGCTTCTGCTCTTTGTCTTTGTCTTTGTCCTCCAACTTTGATGATCTTAGTGACTTTTTACTCATGACACCAGCAAGGAACCCATCAATATTTTCCAAACACTCCAGGAAATCATTGAATTCCACCATAAGATCAAGATGCTTTCCAAGTAAATCGGTTACCAAATTTTGCAATTCATTCCTTTTTATTATTTCACTGACGAAAAAATTATGAAGGCACTTCAAGAAAGCTTGGTAGTCATCAGCACTGTTCAACTTCTCCTTAACTTTCTCAAAGAAACTGAATGCTTGACTATACATGTTCTTTAAGGTATCCTTGTCTTCCTTAGAAGAAAAGTCTGAAGCCAACCCAAAACCTTCAGCTTTCTTGACAGATTTCTTTTTCTCATGAAAGCGCTGCAAGTTCAAATCCCTGCTGTTATTATTTTATATTGACAAAAATCTCACATGAGTCTTTACAATATTATTATTTTTTATTCTATAAATAATGTTCGCCCATCTAAATGTGACAACGCCTAACTCACCAGGTGTTGTAAGCGAGTTAGGTAACGTGACATTATGAACAAAAATTTACAAAATGTGACATTCAGATAATTTTTTACAAAAAATGTGGCACTTTAATCGTTGTCCATCAAAGAATCCTATAACAATTTCCATCTTAAAAACAAATCAAGAATTACAAGCCGTCTGTACTAAATAGGGAATGAAAGAAAGGGGCAAAAAAGTAGAATACATTCTTATATATTAAATTAAAGTTTATTCTCTTAAATGTAATGCCTATAATAGAGTAAACGCATATGATTTACTCTGCATCAGTATCCTTTCTATATATACTGCAAAAGACAACTCTGTGTTTTGTGATATAGTTTCTGAACTGTTAAGAGTTTGTTTCGTGCCAGCTCAGGTTCTGTTAGAAGTTAGATTTGCTGAGCTGGGGGGACACTGTAATCAGTTTAATCTTAAGTCAATAACACAGTTCTCACTCAGAAACTTTCTCTGATCTCTTCTCTCTTTCTCCTCCTCCTCCTCTCTCTCTCCCTCTCTCTCTCTCATACTTACATTTACTCAACAAACATAAACACATACTAGAACAGACGAAACGTACAAAGAAAAAAAAAACAGAACAAACTTAAAAAATAAAAATAAAAAATAAAAAAGGAACCTACTCAGTCACAAAATTATATTCTGTTATGTAAATAAGTTTACATTCACTCCAATTCCTTCTTATACTCAAACTAACTAGGTTGATTGAGAAAACTGCATTACACTCAACTAACAGAAAACAACATTTTCGTCCTAAATAATCAGCAATAACTTTGGGGTAATAAGTTATAAGTCAGATTAGTTCTAGCAAACCCAACCCCATGAGCTAGGAAAATGAAAATGTAGAGAGAAAGAATCATCCAATAAAACCGTTAAAAAGGGGAGAAATGGATACCTCAAGAAATTGTTGAGCATTTATATGATCAGGTTCTCTCTCATCCTGATCACGATTAATCCTCATATCCTTACTCTCACGTTTCCTCCGCTTCTTGTGCATGTTCATCATTGTGTTGTCATCATCCATCTCAGGGTGTTCAACACTCAGATCACGCTCACGATCATGAGAAGGAAGCCTCTTTCGTCGATATACTTGCATTTGCCGCATCATGGGTGCCATAGAACTCCGCTCACTAAAGCGCTGCAATGAATTTCGAGCATCCGGAGCATGCTGTGTAGAAGGTGCTGCGAAACTATCTGGTAAGAATCTAGTGAACTCCTCAAGCAAATCTCGATGATCCTTAAACAGGGTAGCAACCTCACTATAAATTTCACCTATGTCCTTATGCTCTTTGCGGTACATATTGGAAATGTTCAAGAACGATTTGTAAACATGCTCATCACTTTGGAATCGTTTCTTTATCTTGTTCACAAAACTAATAGCTTCTTCAAATTCAACCGTTTTCTTTGGAGGAGCCTCATCCCTTACTCTCTTCATCTTTTATCGGTTCTCCAGATTTTCCTAGGAAAATTCGCTGGAAAACAAGTCGAGTAGATCGACAAGAGAAAGAAAAAAAAAGAGTGAAGTGTTTGATCGGACAGAACAACAAGGTAAACAAGAAAAACAACAAATAGGGTTTCTTCTTTCTCTGTCTCTCTCACGTTGTTGCGTTAGAACGATGGAAACTGAGGCGGTGGGAACCAATTAAAAGGCTAGATTTAGAATTTTATATGGGAAAAAAATTTAATTATTGCATTTTAATTAATTAATTATGCAATTTGGATTGTGATTTTTTTTTTGGAGGTTTGGATTGTGATTTGATAGAAGAAAATAAATAAAATTTGTGATATGTGATTTAATTTTTTACAGTTTTGGATTGTGAACCAATCTGCGTGTGTGATTTAATATAAAAAATTAATCAAGATTTGATGTGTTTATTTTTATTTTTATTTTTTTTGTTATTAAAAGTAAAAAAATTTGGTTTTTGTGATTTAAAAAATAAAATAATTCAATTATTATTAATAAGGAAAAATTTAAATTATGTTTGTGAGAAATATATATTTGTGATTTAAACTCAAAAAACAATTTGAAAAATCAAAAGTTATTTCAGAATTTTATGATTAAATTATTATTATTTTTTTATAAAAAATGACACGTAACCTTCTGAGAGATGCCTCTCGTCACATTGAAAATAAGGATTACCCAATTTTATATATCTCAAAGATATGAATTTAAATTTAAATTAATTTAATATATTATTTAAAAGTTTGTTATTAAAAAAACTTTAAAATATATCTTGTTTTTAAAATAAAATAAAATAAAAACATAAATGAAATGATAAAAAATAAAATATATCAAATGAGATTTCTATCATTGCGTACAAAATTTAAAAGTACAAGTTATGTGGAATCAAAAAATTCAATTAAAATTATTATTATTTTTTTATAAAAAATGACACGTGTCAACCTTAGGTGAGAGATTATAAATTTTGACAAATCTTTAAAAATGAAATATTATGTACTTTTAAATTTTGAAACAAAACTTTATCGTATTGTGTAACTTTAAATTTTGTATTTTATGTATTTATATAGAAATTTTGACACAACCTATAGAGTCATTAATTTGTTGATTGATCCATCACTCCAAGGAGATATAATAATACTAATTCATATCTTTGAGATATATAAAATTGGCAAAAAAATTTAATTATTGCATTTTAATTAAATATTACGCATTTATGGCAGTTTTGGAAATAATTACGGATCTATTTTACAATGTGACGCCTCATTTAGGCATCTCTCACCTAAGGTTGACACGTGTCATTTTTTATAAAAAAATAATAATAATTTAATCATAAAACTTCTGAAGGCCATAACTTTTGACTCGGGTATCCAATTCAGGTAATTGTTTTTTGATTCCATAATTTAAATTTAAATTAGGTAATCCTTATTCCTTAGAGATTTAGAATATTTATTGAATTATTTCATTTATTAATACAGATTTTTCAAATTGATTTTTGAGTTTAAATCACAAATCAAATCTTTATTTTATTTTCCTTATTAATAATAATTGTTACTTTTAATTTAAATAACAAACCAAATTTTTTTATAATAAAAATAAAAATAAAATTTAAATATAATCACACATCAAATCTTGATTAATTTTTTATATTAAATCACACACGCAGATTGGTTCACAATCCAAAACTGTAAAAAATTAAATCACATATCACAAATTTTATTTATTTTCTTCTATCAAATCACAATCCAAACCTCCAAAAAAAAAATCACAATCCAAATTGCATAATTAATTAATTAAAATGCAATAATTAAATTTTTTTCCCATATAAAATTCTAAATCTAGCCTTTTAATTGGTTCCCACCGCCTCAGTTTCCATCGTTCTAACGCAACAACGTGAGAGAGACAGAGAAAGAAGAAACCCTATTTGTTGTTTTTCTTGTTTACCTTGTTGTTCTGTCCGATCAAACACTTCACTCTTTTTTTTTCTTTCTCTTGTCGATCTACTCGACTTGTTTTCCAGCGAATTTTCCTAGGAAAATCTGGAGAACCGATAAAAGATGAAGAGAGTAAGGGATGAGGCTCCTCCAAAGAAAACGGTTGAATTTGAAGAAGCTATTAGTTTTGTGAACAAGATAAAGAAACGATTCCAAAGTGATGAGCATGTTTACAAATCGTTCTTGAACATTTCCAATATGTACCGCAAAGAGCATAAGGACATAGGTGAAATTTATAGTGAGGTTGCTACCCTGTTTAAGGATCATCGAGATTTGCTTGAGGAGTTCACTAGATTCTTACCAGATAGTTTCGCAGCACCTTCTACACAGCATGCTCCGGATGCTCGAAATTCATTGCAGCGCTTTAGTGAGCGGAGTTCTATGGCACCCATGATGCGGCAAATGCAAGTATATCGACGAAAGAGGCTTCCTTCTCATGATCGTGAGCGTGATCTGAGTGTTGAACACCCTGAGATGGATGATGACAACACAATGATGAACATGCACAAGAAGCGGAGGAAACGTGAGAGTAAGGATATCAGGATTAATCGTGATCAGGATGAGAGAGAACCTGATCATATAAATGCTCAACAATTTCTTGAGGTATCCATTTCTCCCCTTTTTAACGGTTTTATTGGATGATTCTTTCTCTCTACATTTTCATTTTCCTAGCTCATGGGGTTGGGTTTGCTAGAACTAATCTGACTTATAACTTATTACCCCAAAGTTATTGCTGATTATTTAGGACGAAAAGGTTGTTTTCTGTTAGTTGAGTGTAATGCAGTTTTCTCAATCAACCTAGTTAGTTTGAGTATAAGAAGGAATTGGAGTGAATGTTATTTACATAACAGAATATAATTTTGTGACTGAGTAGGTTCCTTTTTTATTTTTTATTTTTATTTTTTAAGTTTGTTCTGTTTTTTTTTTCTTTGTACGTCTCGTCTGTTCTAGTATGTTTTTATGTTTGTTGAGTAAATGTAAGTATGAGAGAGAGAGGGAGAGAGAGAGGAGGAGGAGAAAAGAGAGAAGAGATCAGAGAAAGTTTCTGAGTGAGAACTGTGTTATTGACTTAAGATTAAACTGATTACAGTGTCCCCCCAGCTCAGCAAATCTAACTTCTAACAGAACCTGAGCTGGCACGAAACAAACTCTTAACAGTTCAGAAACTATATCACAAAACACAGAGTTGTCTTTTGCAGTATATATAGAAAGGATACTGATGCAGAGTAAATCATATGCGTTTACTCTATTATAGGCATTACATTTAAGAGAATAAACTTTAATTTAATATATAAGAATGTATTCTACTTTTTTGCCCCTTTCTTTCATTCCCTATTTAGTACAGACGGCTTGTAATTCTTGATTTGTTTTTAAGATGGAAATTGTTATAGGATTCTTTGATGGACAACGATTAAAGTGCCACATTTTTTGTAAAAAATTATCTGAATGTCACATTTTGTAAATTTTTGTTCATAATGTCACGTTACCTAACTCGCTTACAACACCTGGTGAGTTAGGCGTTGTCACATTTAGATGGGCGAACATTATTTATAGAATAAAAAATAATAATATTGTAAAGACTCATGTGAGATTTTTGTCAATATAAAATAATAACAGCAGGGATTTGAACTTGCAGCGCTTTCATGAGAAAAAGAAATCTGTCAAGAAAGCTGAAGGTTTTGGGTTGGCTTCAGACTTTTCTTCTAAGGAAGACAAGGATACCTTAAAGAACATGTATAGTCAAGCATTCAGTTTCTTTGAGAAAGTTAAGGAGAAGTTGAACAGTGCTGATGACTACCAAGCTTTCTTGAAGTGCCTTCATAATTTTTTCGTCAGTGAAATAATAAAAAGGAATGAATTGCAAAATTTGGTAACCGATTTACTTGGAAAGCATCTTGATCTTATGGTGGAATTCAATGATTTCCTGGAGTGTTTGGAAAATATTGATGGGTTCCTTGCTGGTGTCATGAGTAAAAAGTCACTAAGATCATCAAAGTTGGAGGACAAAGACAAAGACAAAGAGCAGAAGCGTGAGATGGATGGAGCTAAAGAGAAGGAAAGATACAGGGAGAAGGAGTACATGGGAAAATCCATTCAAGAACTTGACCTCAGTGACTGTAAACGTTGCACTCCCAGCTACCGGCTTCTACCTGCTGATTATCCAATTCCTACAGCTAGTCAGAGATCTGAGCTTGGTGCTCAAGTATTGAATGATCACTGGGTATCTGTGAGTTCAGGAAGTGAGGATTACTCTTCCGAACATATGTGCAGGAATCAGTACGAAGAGAGCTTGTTCAGATGTGAAGATGACAGATTTGAGCTGGACATGTTATTAGAGTCTGTGAGTTCTGCAGCTAAACGTGCAGAGGAATTATATAATAACATGAATGAAAATAAGATCAATATGGAGACTCTGAACCGTATTGAAGATTACTTTACTGTTCAAAATTTAAGGTGCATTGAACGTCTATATGGTGACCATGGTCTTGACGTTATAGACATATTGCGTAAAAACCCAACTCGTGCGCTCCCTGTAATATTGACTCGACTGAAGCAGAAACAGGAGGAATGGAGTCGGTGTCGTTCAGATTTCAATAAAGTTTGGGCTGAAATTTATTCTAAAAATCACTTAAAGTGAAGCAGCAGAAAGAGGATGATATTCTTCAGTCTACTATTGCAGCTGGAAACAAATTAGTTCGGTATTCATGTGATATGAGAGTATGAATGAGGCTGATGGTAGAGTAACTGAGGTAAAGAATGTTCACCGGACTAGTGTAGCAGCCAGTGATAAAGAAAATGGATTATTTTTTGGAAGCTTCACAAGCTTCCACAAGCAGCCAGTGATTTTGGTTTTTCTGTTTATGTTTACTCACTTCAATTCTTTTTCATTACTGGTTTAATGAATTTTATTCAAGGTTAAAATAATAATAATTAAAATTGGTTCTTTTTCACTTCAATTCTTTTTCACTTCGGTATACGGGG